GATTCTACTCATAAAGGCGGCCATCATACCACGCAAATCAAGTAATTTGGTTTTGGATACATCTGTCCTGCATGGCCCCATCCGACCATGCATCAGTAAAAGTGCAAACTCAGGTTCCAATGTCCACAACCGCTTCCTATCACTGTTGAGCAACGGAAGATTCGTATATAGACATAGATGCATTCTCTGATGATATTCGCTCATCCGCTTTGACGGATTTATCCTCCAACGGTATAAAAGATCTCACTAATCGTTACAACGCAGTCCTTAGTAACATCCTTGATAATCATGCTCCCATTGAAGTGCGATCGAACACCTCGCCCTCATACTCTGTGGTTCACCGACGAGCTCTGCCATGCTAAACAAGAAAAAAGAAAATTAGAGCGTAGATGGGTTAAATCTAAGTTAATTGTTCATAGAAATATCTATCTCTCTAAATGCCGAGAGTACCACCACGACCATGCCAAAATAAATTTCCATAGATCACAAATTATCAACTGCAACCAGCATAATTTCTTTACAATTATTGATAAATTGTCAGTGTCCAGACCTAAGCAAATTCTTCCATTAATCTCATCTGTCTCAAGTTTTCCTTACATCTCTAAACTTCTAGAGAGAGTTGTAAAGTTGCAACTTCAGGAATATCTTGACGATAATAATCTACTTGCTGAACCGTAAATATTTCAGCAAAGAAACTACCTTACTAAGTTCACAATGACATTCTTTGTTCGCTGGACCAACGAAAAGAAGTATTGCTCCTTATGTTGGATTTTTCTTCAGCATTTAATACAATATCTCATTCAGAATTAATACAACGTATAACTTCTCGCTTTGGTATTATCGGTCATGCACTAAACTGGCTCTCAACCTATTTATCTAACAGGTCTCAGTCGGTTATAATAAATGGATGCCTCTCAAAACCATAGGGCTCAGTAATAGGCCCACTTTTATTCATTTTATACACTAACCCACTTTTTGACATCATCACATCCCATGGTATGCGATGCATGTTTTATGCAGATAATGTTCAGATCTACACTTCTCTTCCACCAGCTGAGCGTTCCACAGCCATTGATGGAATTAAATCCCGCATGTCCGATGTCAAATCTTGGTCGGTAACAAATCAATTGAAACTTAATGACTCCAAATCTCATTTTTCCAAGATGAATCGTATAACCAGTGACATATTGGCAACTCGGTGATGAATGTGTCTGCTGAAGTTCGAAACCTGGGTGTTAGGTTCGATTTGTCACTTTCTATGAAAACCCAAGTGAAATCTGTATGCTCTTCAGCAATGTTGGGCATTAGAAAACTTGGCAGCATCCGTAGGTTTCTGGACGATAGGTCTGCTGCAACATTGGTTCATGCATTTGTAACCTCAAGGCTAGATTACTGTAATAGTCTACTCTACAAGTTACCTTCCAAAAACTCACATTTCAAAACTGCTACGTGTACAAAATACTACTGCTAGATTTGTCTCACGCTCTAAGCCAAATTGCCACATTACACCAGTTCTTCAGAAATTGCACTGGCTTACAATAAATCAGCGCATTGCTTTCAAGATCCTGCTTCTTACATACAAGTCCATTCATAATCTTTCTCCATCGTATATTTCAAAGCTCATACCTGCTTACGTACCGACACTGAAACTTTGATCTTCTTCTTAACTCAATCTCGAATTTCCGAAAATGTGGACGAGTTATGACTCTCTTTCGTTTGCAAATGCCGCCTCAAAACTATGGAATGGTCATCCTCAGTACATCAAATCGGCTATCGAGTCTTTCAAAACCCTACTAAAAACTTTTCTGTTTAACAACGCTGAATATGCATGATATGTTACCCCTTATTTCATCTGGGGTGGTTAATGATGCATATGCTATCATTTGTGGGGTGTCCAGAGCCGGGCCCCACCTGTTCCTTACTCGAGACAACGTTGTAGTCTTTTGCAGTGCACGGTAGTAGAGCCGAGGGCTTATTCTGAGGTGGAAGCTATCGGAGCCCAGCATACTGCCTAACGGAGTGCCTGCGTGAATCCGGGTGTGACAGCGACGTTGTTTTCGACATCGGTGGGTGAAGCCCTGTTCTGGATACTTATACCGATAGCGCAAATGCAAATGCTTTTTCGGAACTGTTTTAGTTTAAGTACCGTAGTTTAAGTCAAAATTATTTACTGCTTGTTAACCTTTCTTTTTGTAAAGCGCATTGAAAA